GGTAGGTCTGTAATGATGGAAAATTTCCATCATACGTCACAAAGGGGTTAAAGTGGCTCTGTCCTCTCAAACTTACCGTTCCCCTATTGTTTTCTTTTCTATTCCTCTTCCTCCAGAATATGTTCTTCTTTTCTTCATTTCTGATCTATTTCTCTTTAAAACATACGACAAAGTAGAGACTACTTCTCATATGCATTATTCCTACATTTTTATTTTTTTAACGTATTTATTCTTTGGCAATTTTTTACAAAGGGTGGCGAGCTTAAGCCTAGAATCACCTTTGTTAGCTTGATAAAGGAAATGGAGCTTACCTTAAGACCCACCTCTTTGTCACATTTGTCAAGCGTAGGAAAAAATTAGTCCCTACTTTGTCTGATGTTCTTAAGAGAAATAGTTCAGATATGATTAACAGTCTGAATGAGAAGAGGAAACAAAAGAAGAAATGTAATTTTGAGGTGACAGGGCCACTTAAAAAAATCTAAATGACCAGTTATAGTTTTATGTTCAATATGACTGGACTTTTTTGTCTTTATTTTGTACTCTGGGGTATAACAGATCAGTAAAGTGGAAAACTATTACTGAAGTGTGTGGCTATGGCCATCTACAGGGCATAGCTATACTACATATGTTATGTAAGAATTCGCTTTAGTAATAATGTGTTGTTAGGTAGTTACTATTTTCATTATTTATACAGGTAGTTACTCTGCTGCTAGAAAAAGGGCATTTGCCTGCTACCAACATTCATGCTCCAGTTACCCCTAAGTGTACTCCTCCAAACCAAGTAGATTCCAGCAAGCCACAGGACCAGAACCTGACCAAAACCCTGGACTACAGCTTTGTCACTGAAGGTATGTTTACATTAAATAACATTGATTAATAATAATAGATTTCCAATCTCCAGATGTTGTGGCTTTTATTTGCAAATGATGGATGACAAAAGTTGTAACACAAAAGAACAGGAGATGACCGGACCCTGTGAAAGTGAGCATACGTTCTAAAGGTTTATACCATGCAAACAATTGTCTACCATCCTGCAGCAGTGAAGAAGGGTTTTCTGTGCTATGAAATTACTTTGAGTATAAGTTTTATTCAGCAAATACCAATGTTTTGGGTTTGTTTGTTTTTTCTACTTTTCTTCTCCAATTCTGAATAATAGGGCAGGATTTTAAAACCACAGCAAGACTGGATGTTTTGTTAACAAATAATGCTATATTACAGTCTTCTAGTCTCCCCTCTTTCTTGAAGAGGGGAGAGGGTGTAGGTATTATGTATACAGCATTCCTGGGACAAAGTTCTGAAAGTGGAACATCAGTGAAAAGATTCCATTGGTTTCTATGGGGATCACTCTGTCTGTAATTCTAATTGTACTGTAATTGCATTTAGTCTCTTGCCTAAATCTCTGACTTTTGGGGGCAGGGCCTGATAGCCGAACAAGATGGTCACATGATACTAAAGCTCCTTGTGTAAACCTTTCATTAAGCCTAATTCTTCACTCAAGCACTCTAGTTTTTGGCATAATGCTGCACATTGCCATTAAGGAGCAACCGGGTTGAGCGAGTAGCCCGTATTGGCAACTTCCCTGGTGAACTGTGCCTCTGCGGACGTACTCGAGGAGGCCAATCTTCTGCCCGGGTCTGGAAAATCCACACTGTTGAGCCCTATCCCTTCCTCTCCCCCCGACTTCCCCCCCCCCCCGACTGGTGGGGGTTTTCCCGGTACCCACTGGCACATTCTTGTGACCTCCTGTCGGTGGCCTTATAACCCAAACGACCCACAAGATTGTGGCCTACTGCTCGAGGGTTGTCGTGTACTTTCCACAGCTATCTACCTATGCTAGTGTAGTGTTGCTTGAAACCAAGTGTGATACTTTTTCTTCTCTTACACGTTCTTCTCTCTTTTAGAAAATTCTTTTCAAGTCAAATTACTGAAGAACAGCTCTGGCCTGGGTTTCAGTTTTTCTCGAGAGGACTACCCCATTATTGGGGAAGCTAGCTCCAGCATAGTGCGGGTCAAGAAGCTGTTTCCTGGACAGCCTGCTTCTGAAAGTGGCAAAATCAATGTAGGAGATGTGATTCTTAAGGTCAATGGAGCCTCACTTAAAGGCCTGCCTCAACAGGTAACAAAAGCAAGTTTGTTTTCTGGTATATGCACACGTCAGAAATGTATTCTGCAGTTTGTCTAAATAATTTGTGAACGTATGTAATTAGGTTTATACGTTTTAGACAGTGACACCATTTTCATAAGAAGAGCAGCCTGCTAGTTCTTATTCAAGGCGTTTAACAGATTCTTAGAACTGCTAAGAATTACACAATTGTTCACAGTTCCCCCATTTTTAAGGTTTCAAAAGTAATTGGACACACTACTATAATGATGAATAAAACTATTTTTGGTTGCAAATTCCTTTGCAGTGGACGAGAGCCTGAAGAGTGGTACCCATTGACTACACCAAATTCTGTGTATTGCATCACCACAGGCATTTACTGCAGCTTTCTTAAGTTGTTGCTTTTTTGCTTTCTGTCTTAATTTTTGTCCTTGTTTAAACTACTCCTAGTTGTAATAGATTTGGAGTTTGGGTGCTATGGATAAAGTCCTTCTGATTTTTCTCAAACACTTTTCAAGTTGGGTTTTCACTGCAACGTAAACCTACATGTTCAACTGCATACTTCAATATGAGCAAGTCCTTCTTATGAATCCAAAATATTAAATGATATGACATTGAGCAGAGAAAGGTTGTGAGAACTTTAGGAATATAACGATTTGACTATGCCACATTGCCATTAACCCCATCTGCTACTACAAGAGGGCTATCAATGATTTAGAACTGGCTGTCCCTCAGCACTTACAGCCTGAGCATGCAGTGTGTGTCCATCCTCGCGGGGTGTATATACCATCTTTAGAATAGGGAGTGATGTAACGTAATTTATAAGTCCATTTAAATAAAATAGCCAGATATTGAGATCTGTAATATTTTCTGTTATGACAAGAATTAGCACATTAATGATTTTATGAAATCTACTTTAATTCCATGTTATCTAATGAGCTGCTCCATTTCCTTCTGTTTGTTTTATTTCAGGAAGTCATTTTAGCATTGAGAGGAACTTCACCTGAAGTCACACTACTAATGTGCAGACCCCCTGTAGGGGTATTACCGGAGATCAACCCCTTAGTATTGGTAAGACAACACTGTGAAGATTGTCTGTGACTTATTCTGCCTCTTAAAATGGCAACCAAGACAAGACCTACGTCGTGTGTATTTTTGCACTGCCATTTATAGTGTACGTTATTAGCATTTGGCACATAATATGCCTATGGTATTTTTCATTTATGTAAAATCCGTTCCCTGTTTATCCAATTATTTTTATAGAGAGCTTAAAACAACCTTCTGTTCTCTCTTCTGTAAGAGAAAAGTGCCAGCTCATCACAGACAGTTCTTCATTAGAACAGCAGGAGCTTAAAACTGTTGTGCATAATGAGAGGAACTAGTCACACACATGTCTAGACCCACATTATATTTTAATAGAAGGCATTTAAAAATGTGCACTGTTTTCTCTCTGAAATGCACATGCAATTTCTTTACTCCCTGTTCTTTTTTTATTTTTTTATTGATATGTTGGAGAATTTTTGCTTCAGAGCGACTTCTCCCATTCCTGTGTGGAGTCCTATTGTAATGCAGATAGTGATGTACACGTGTAGGTAACCATCAGCAGTCCTGTGTGGATTGGGACTCTCATTGTGTTTATAACTTCAAATCCTATGCACGTGTGGCCCTCTTGATATGTCAAAGGTGCCTATTCCGACTCTCCAGCATACCACACATTCATATTACAAAGTTCTCGAGTAGTAGATCCATTTCTACTAAGTTCTGTGCTCATATTGCACAAACTAAAATGCAATGTTACATATTAATCATGGTTGCCACAAATGATTTCTGATTTTGTCAAACAATACAAATATTTATTTAAACTCTCTTAGGCCCAGATCAGAATGCTTTCACTTATTATTTTGACCTTTGAATCTAAGAACATTAGTGCTTATTCTACTGCAATATAACGATCACTTGCACAGCAAGCAATGCTTTCATGTTTCTTGTATCTGTCTATACTGGGCAATACGCTTTTTTATTCCTATATTGATCTATGTTTAGAATAGATCATTATAGTGAAAAGCCATTAAACACACATGATACATATAAACTAAAGGAGAGTGCTCATCAAAGTCCTAGCAGACTATTGCATTACTTTTCATCACATTTTCATCCCATGTTTTTACTGAAAGAATTTCCTCAAACAGTATGGCACCGTATTGGCACTGTATGTTCACCACGAAAATGCATTGGGCCAAGTAGAGGATTCTGGATGTTTTAGTTCACTACTAAATATTCAACTTAAATAAGCTGTTAATAGTACTACAACCCACAGAAACATTTGTCATGCTTCCTGATATGTCCAATTATGATATATAAAACTAGGGGTAGAGTCAGCGCTAATCAGGAAGGCAGCAGTCCCAAACAAGGACTCCCTCTAATGTCTTTGGAAATCAATGGTAAAAGCAGGAAAATGGGGGGATGGGTCTGCGCCAATGTGCACAATAAATAATAGTATTAAGTCCAATAGGATCTATATTGTCGTTTCCAAAGTTCTACTTTTTGCGATATCCAGAAGGTGTCGGTGACGTGAAGAGTAATCCAAATATGTGAAAATAGAAGAGTTCTTACTTACAGTTAACAGAGCTTAATCCAGCTCTGGTGTGAATGACTTACAGCGGTATTATCCCCGCTTGCAGGATGTACGGCAAGTGTCCTCTTCTATGTAGTGGCAGGTAACCAAGTTGGAAATAAAAATGGAAACAATAATGGTGCAGTATGTTCCACACGTGTAATAAAAAATATAAAATATAATAGATACACTCACATTCGGTAGAGCTTTGGCTAGCTCTAGTTTGTTAGGCGTACAGCGGTATCATCCCCGCTTGTAGGATATAGGATGAGTGATCTTGACGAGAATATCAGGAGCTCGGAGAGAAGATAAAACAGTGATAGTGCTCTCAATAAAATCTTGGTAATAATTACCAATTATTACCAAGATTTTATTGAGAGCACTATCGCTGTTTTATCTTCTCTAAGGCCAAGTAGCCCTATAACTTGCAAAAAAAAAATCATGTAAACACTGGGTATTTTTAAACTCAGGACAAAATTTTTAATCTATTTAGCAGTTTCTTTCATTCGCTTGTGTAGATGAGTAAAAGATTTTTCAAGTAAAAGTCAATTTTTTTTATTTTTTTCAATTTTTCATCATATTTTATTTTTTTAAATTAAATTACATGAGATTATATAAATAATGGTATGTAAAGAAAGCCCTTTTTATCCTGAAAAAAACAATATATAATTTGTAAAGGAACAGTAAATGAGAGAGCAGAAAATAACAGCTAAACACAAACACCACAAAAATGTAAAAAGAGGCCTGGTCGCAAATGTACAACATCGCAAAAACAGTCCAGTCCTTAAGGGGTTAAAGGATCTTAACATGTGTAGCTTGGAGGAAAGACTAGACAGGGGGGATATAATAGAAACATTTAAATACATAAAGGGAATCAACACAGTAAAGGAGGAGAGTTTATTTCAAAGAAGAAAAACTACCTCACCAAGAGGACTTGATCTTAAATTAGAGGGGCAAAGATTTAAAAATAATATCAGGAAGCATTACTTTACTGAGAGGGTAGTGGATGCATGGAATAGCCTTCCAGCTGAAGCGGTAGAGGTTAACACAGTGAGGGAGTTTAAGCATGCGTGGGATAGGCATAAGGCTATACTAGCTATAAGATAAGGCCAGAGACTAATGAAAGTATTTAGAAAATTCGGCCCACTAGATGGGCCGGATGGTTCTTATCTTCCGTCACATTCTATGTTTCTATGACATTGAATAAACTTGAGATATTAGTGTATTACCTGGCTCTTATTCATATATTACTATTATAAATTACTATTATTATTTGTATAGCTCCTATCCTAAGTCACACAATGTGCACTGATTGGCACACAAGCACGAAATTGCAACAGGACAAGATGGATATATTGGAGTACAGGTTACCAAGGCAACTTATCCTGGCATGTTGTCTGTCACAAAGTAGTTATATCAGATCTTGTACTGATCTTTCTTTGTTACTTTTACATCCACTTACCCAGATGTCAAGAAAACAAAACACTCCAAGTGCATTAAATTTACCCTGCATTCACTTTAATAATTACACCCAAAGCACATATTAACGATCATGGTTAGGAAGTGCCCACATCAGTAGGGTTGCGTACAGACTTCTGTTTGATAAATGTATCTTTTATTTCAAACTAAATATGCAGACACCTTTAAACTCACCGCAGCAGTCCTTCCAGGAGAGCCAAAGTAGCACAGATCATCCTCTTACGCTGGAGTGTGATGACAGTTCGGATGAAAATGAGGAGGTTAATGACATGAGCAGGAGACGGCTCAAGAATCCTTCTAGGAGGGATAGCTACAGTGACAGCAGTGAAACTGGAGAAGAAGACTTTGTACCCGAACCAGATGAAGTGCCAGTCCCTAGATGGAATGCAAATGTCTACCAGACTCCCAACTGCTCGATGGCCACAGCTTGTAGTCCGTGTGACACCCCAGCGATCCATGAAGAGACCATCCGTACTAGCTTTTATACACCACAAGAATCTCCTAACAAACCAGAATTTGAGGACAGGTGAGGTGGAATTATTGATACATCACTCATCCTAAAAGAAAAGAATGTTGCTAAGTATTATCAATGCAGTACAGCAATAAAAACATTTCTGCTATGAATTTTAAAATGACGGTTGCAGAGAACATCACCAGTTTAAACCCCCATGTCAAACCATTTAGAAACCGGTACATAAAATCCAGTGATCTCCCCAGCACCCACAGCCTGCGCCTACTCTGCAGCACTGGTAATGGGAAATTTACACATCTGTAATCTATGTCAATATTGTCCAACCTGGATTACATTAATAGTCAGAGAGTGCTGGGGACAAGTCAGTCCACCACTCTGAGTCAATCACTTTTACATTTACCGGTAGGTTAGATTAAATTGACCATCACAATAAGAAAGTGTTAATTCAGCATTATATAAGCAATCCAGAAGTGGTAGTCCCTAATCACTTTTATTGCTTGACATCAAATCAAACTGCAATGGTTATATTGCTTAGAATGTCCCTTTATGTTTGAAATTCCATTTACTTGTCAGTTTGTCTAGATTTGTTTTTTTTTTTCTCTTTATGTATTGGGCTAGCACCTCTGGGAAAGACCATAATGGGTCAGTATAATTACAAGTTTCCTGTCACAGCCAATTATGGCAGAATTGTGGCTGTGCATTCACATCGTAAAACATAAAAATAAGTATGGTTATGGAGCATTTGCATGTTATGTACCTTTTTTGACTTGGAATGAATTTCCTTCACATCTGATAGGTGCGCAGAATTCCTTTTAAACATTGCTATTTTATTTACAGCAATCCGCCGTCTCCTGTTCCTTTTGATAACACACCCACCCAAAGTGAAAATATTCCTCAAATTGTACTTTCTGATGCTTACCACTCCGAGACAAAGTCTTTCCAAGAGGAACCATTATCTGTAAAGAGTTTGGGACTTAAAGATCTTGAAGATTTTGAACCAGTAAGTTCTCATCTGAACTGTGTTTCAGTGTTCATTATTTCTACAAATGTGCTATAACTCCTGTCATCTGCCCATGGCACTAAACTCACAGTTCTGTTTGTTTTCTTTAAATCTTTTAAATGTTTTGCTTGTTTAGGAAGTAGAGCTTCATGTCACATTGACCAAATCAGAAAAAGGAAGTCTTGGCTTCACAGTGACAAAAGCCAATGATTGTTTGGGATGTTATGTTCATGACATTATTCAGGACCCTGCCAAAAGTGATGGCCGGCTTCAACCTGGAGATAGACTGATCAGAGTAAGTTTAAATTGTCTATTTCCTTGTGTGCCATTTTTTTATGCCCTTATCTCTTATTAATTATACTTTCCTCCTACAACTTGCCTTTATTCATATTTAGTATATTTTCTTACGTGTGCCTGGTCTCAATACTTGGATGCAGTCATTATGTTTCCATCTGCCTCTTGCTGTCTGCTGTCTGCCCTTCCTTGGGTTTGATTTTAATGAGAATTATTATTATGGGTACCTTTGATTAGAATCTGAAACCTAAATGCTGCCAAAACATCCATTGTCAAACTTTGTCAACATGACCGCTCTCAAGGGAAAGAAAGAGATTTAGATGCCAGGAGCTATATAGAAGCAGATAAGATAAACTTACCTTAGATAAACGTAATGTCCAGTTTTCTGAGTTTTACTTTCAGCTTATGCTTCCAATCACTTGTGATGAATAGCTCCTTATATCTATTTACTATTCCCCTATTATTCTTTGTGTGTGTCTCATCTTGTTTACTACCTCATTTTTCTTTTTTTTTCTTTTTTTTTTCTTTTCAATCTCACACCACTCTTAATGGCAGGTTAATGATGTAGATGTAACGAACATGAGTCACACAGAAGCAGTGAATTTATTGAGAGCAGCACCAAAAACTGTACGACTTGTGCTTGGTCGTGTCCTTGACATTCCCAAACCTCAAGTGCCACCACAACTCTTGCCTGATATCACGCTGACATGCCACAAGGGAGGCCTAGGTAAGACTTAAGCAGATTTAAAAAAAGAATAATTCTGCATAGTTAAATCTCAAACACCAGTATCTGATGTTTTTTGTTTCTCATGTAGGTCTGTCTTTATCAGGAGGTCCCGACAGTCTTTCCCAGGTCATTTACATAGATGCTATTAAGCCAGGCTCTGTTGCAGATCGAGAAGGAAGTTTAAAACCTCTTGATATCTTACACTACATAAATGGACACAGCACATTAAACATGACCCTGGAGGAAGCAGAGCGTGCCCTGGAATCCCTTCTATCTTCTGTTGTTTTAAAAGCAACCAGGTATACCTATTTACTATATTAAAGCTATCATCTGTCTTTCATAAAAAAAAAATGCTAATTCCTGCTAATGAATTTGTTCAAAATAATTTCCTGCATATTATCCCTTAACAGCCCATCAAATTTCCCAACCACAGATGTTACGCTTACATTACTATTGTTAGCGATAGGAAGGGGAGACTAATCCATAAATTGAAATAGTTAATAAAAATTAAAAAATAATAGTACGGATATGCAAATTTGCAGTCCTAGATCAGTCTTCCCATCATAGATTCCCATTGACAACACTTTCACTCTTGCTCTGTTTGCGTGGACTTTTCATTTTCTAGTTAAACCCATCTAATTGCCATTTGCAAGCCATGTTGGCATGCTTATAATTCTTAAAAGAACACTATAGGGTCAGGAACACAAACATGTATAAACTACCATTTATGTCGCTTGCCCCCCCCTTAAAAGATAATAAAACGTAACTGATTCCGGCGTTGGCCCCGCTACAGATCTGCCTCCTTGCTGACATCATCAGAATTTTTGATTTACCTTATTTCAGCACTGACCTCACCCAGATCCGCCCCCTTACTGACATCATCAACATTTATGATTTCAGCCAGTCAAAGGGAAAGCATTGGACTGGCTGAAATCGGCAAGGAGCTGGGATGGGGCCAAATGCCAGCTTGGCCAATTAAACACCTTCTCATAGAAGTGTATTGAATCAATGCATCTCTATGAGGAAAGTTAGTGTCTCCATGCAGAGCGTGGAGAGACTGAATGGCAGTGCTGCTGCTCCACATTGTGCAGCACTGCCCCAAGAAGCACCTCTAGTAGCCATCTGAGGAGTGATCACTGGAGGTATCCCTGGGGGGCAATGTAAACACTGCCTTTTCTCTGAAGGGAATGATTAAACTCAACAGAACAACTACATTAAGCTATGCAGTAGTTGTTTTGGTGAATATAGTGTCCCTTTAAAGGGTGTACTTGACCCATCTGATTTCTCTAAACTGATATATTATTTTTTTAAGTTACAAGATGCTATTGGCCCAGCTGATCTCAGTGAACAAATCTTTTTACTCTACCATTATTTATCAATTACAAGGTTGTAAGAATGTCAAATACATACATACAAACAAAAATGTAACATTAAAATATACATT